TATATATATATATATATATATAATTTTTATGTAAATCGGTTGGTTAAATAACATATTATGAACATAAAATTGAAGTTGAACTTAAATAACCGAATCTTTAAAAGTAAAGATCGATACCCAAACCACCATTAGAAATATCAAATAAAAATTTTACTTTTAACCAAACTATATATATTTATGATAAAAAAGAGTATGAAAAGATAAAAAAGACTGTAATGTAGTTAGAATTAATTTACATCTATTGGTAAATTATTAATGTTGTTGTTAGGTAAACTTGATGGTTAGACGATCATATTTTTTAACACATGCGTTTGCTATTAAATTGTAGATAAATGTTATAGGTATATGATATTGTACATAGATGTGTACATAACACTCACATTAAGTGAGTCCTACAAAAAAATAAAAAGTAAAGTGGACTCCAACCCAAGGCCGGCTCCAGAGGGGAGGCAACCTAGGCATGGGCCTAGGGCCTCCCTTTTATTTGGGGCCTCATATTTTTTTTTTTTTAATTTGTGTCGAGTTTTGTCTATCTACATAAATGAAGCATGATTATTTTTATAATATTATGTATTTGTGTTGGATTTTGTCTATTTACACAATATTTACACAAATGAAGGGGTTAATGGCTAAATATAGACTTAAATCATTACACAAATGAAGGAGCTAATGGCAAAATATGTAGTTTTGGGGGATTGAGGCCCTAAATATTTCATTTTTTTTCGTATGACGTTCGGTCAGAACAAGTTGTGTGAAAATAAATATTCTTTGTAGTGATATGATTTTTATTTTCTTGTCTTTAGTGTCCTCGTGATTGGTTGATTGTAATTTATTAAAGATTTTTGTAGCGCGGAGGTAATTTATCAATTCCAAGTTCAAGAAATTTTTTTTTATCAATTATTTATTTAGTTATATAATAGTCTCGTTAAAAGTTATGATTCTATCTGCGAATAGGCCTAATTAACACGTAAGTTCAAATCGAGAAAATTCTAAAAGAAAAAACTTGCCTAGGGCCTCCGAATTTCTGGAGACGGCCCTGCTCCAACCCATGTAAGTGTTATACACATCTCTATGTATATTTATTATGTCTTGTAGCATTTTTCAAAATTGGAATGTCATACAATAAAATACAACATAAATAGAAGTACGACATTTTATAACATAAATATGTATTTTATCTACAGTGAGTGAAGACTCGGCCGCCTAATGGTTAGGCATACTAGCACATGTATTGTGCATATTCACAAAGAAAAACAAAAAATTATATATTATATGTACATATGTGATATTTAAAAATTTAAATTAGATAAATTATTTATTACAATTCAAAATTTTAACCATATGTAAACGTATAACATAATATAATTATTTAACTTCCATATAATTTTTTTTTTTTTTGTTATTATATAACTATAATACAAAATAAGAATATTTGTTGTAAAATAATTTAATATTAGATATACTCAGAAAATTTAAAAAATCTTGTAAAATTGTCAAAGCGTAAAAAATTAATAACAATAAAATTTTACTTGTGTAATTGTCATTTGAATACTTGTTGACGATCGAAATCAACAACCCTTTAACAAGTGAGGTTGAAGTTCTATTTATAGTAGACTGATTTGGCACTATTCATGTAGCATGATCATAAAAGTTCTATTTTTATTAATTGTTGGTCGAAGAAAAATTGTTGAAACTTGCCCGCAATTATATATAGATTACACAAAATGTTCATTATGTGTGGACCGTATCAAGAGTTTGGGCCTAACACAACAAGATCCAAGTAACTCTTAGCTCATATATTGGGCCATTTATATGATCTCAAATTGCAGAAGCCCCTTCCAAAATTCTTTGAAAATTGAAAGTGAAACACAGAAAAATACTAGTCTGCAAAACTGCAACTTTACGGAACAGAAAGTGGATAAGCCGGCAAATTTTGCTCACAGTTCACACGCAGTGAGGTTGAAGAGGAACACGAAGGCGCACAGATGTTGGCGGCAAGCCCTAATTCCGGCTTCCACCTTCCTCCCTCGCGCGCGAAGGCGTCAAATTCCGACAAGCTCAGAATATTCTCCCATTTTTCACCGGCGAATTGCTCTGGCCCCTTGAATAATCTGCACTTTTGGTCCATTTTGCCGCGCAACTCTTTAATTCGGGTTTCTCGAGCGAGAAAAAGGAGAAATGGTAGCCCGCGTGGGAGTATGAGCTTGTGTAATCACTTCGCCATTGGAGCTTGTTTAGCAGCGGAGCCCGGGGTTCAGCACGAAGGGGCGGTTCAACAGTCATTTGCTCCGCACTCAATCAAAATCCCTGTTGGTGATCGCCATGTAAGTCTCTTTTATTCTCTGCAGCTAATTCAGCAGTGTTTGCGAGCTAGATAGATAGTCAGCCGTTTGTTCAGAGTTTAGTTAGTATAGCGACCGAGACATGGCGTGAACGTGGGAGGTTCCTCGCAATAGACACTTTTTTTTTTTTTTTTTTCATTTTGAGTGAAATGATCGTTGGAGCTCAAATTATATGATACCTGAACTATGGGAGAAGTTAGAGCTGTCATTAACTCCGATGGCTGTCATTTTTTCTCATTTTTTATTCCTGACGCATTCTTGGTTAGTAGTTTGGGTGCTTCTGTATAATTAAGTTTCCAATTTATATTGCATTTTATGAATATTCACAGATCTTAGTTGAGACTGGTCACATGGGGAGACAAGCTAGTGGTGCTGTTACTGTTACAGATGGGGAAACTGTAAGTTATGAGCTCTAATAAACTATGTACTGTTTCAATTTTAGCTGAATTATCACATTAGTTTCACAGATGAAACTAAATCACGATATTGCTCTATAACTGTTGGAAAACTCGTTCTTTGCGAATGTTGATCTGTATGTCTGTTTGTTTGGCCAAAGTGGTTCGCGTACTTCTGGTTTGAATAAGATGGTTTGCCATTTTTCTTGTAGATTGTCTATACGACTGTTTGTTTGGCTGATGTTCCAAGTGAGCCTTCGGATTTCTTTCCTCTTTCTGTAAACTATCAAGAGCGATTCTCAGCAGCCGGTCGAACGAGGTAAACATTTGCCATTTATCTGTCCCCTTTTCAGTGGCTTGTAGCTTATTAAAAAAAAAAAAAAAACTTATCTTTGTGTTTCTACTTTCCACTGTCCAGCGGTGGGTTTTTCAAGCGAGAAGGAAAGACAAAGGACCATGAGGTATACATGCTTCTGCTTGATGTTGTTTACTGTCTGTTGTTTGGAGGTGGATATTTTCATAGTCAACCCGGAATACCACATATCTAATTCCATATTTACAAATTAACTGTATGCAGTTTCCTTATACAGGTTCTAATTTGTAGACTTATAGACAGACCTCTGCGCCCAACTATGCTTACCGGATTCTATCACGAGACACAAGTACTATCTTTGGTATTTCCTTTTTCTTTTCTTTTTTCACTAAAATGCAAGTGAAAGTATAGAGTTATTTTTATTCTTTATCTTCTTTCATCTGATATCCGTCAAGTATTCTTCTCAAACCAAGTTGTCATACACAAATAAGTAAAGCTAGAAAGAAACAATGGATAGTGATATGACTTGAAATCTTGAAAGTTTGGTGGAGACTAGAGTGCACTTTAAAATGGTAGATATATTTTATTTCGCAATATATTGTGTAGATGAAAACCAGGAATCTCGGTTAATTATTGCTCAAGTAAGGCCTGAGGCAAAACTAAAGTGTTGTGTACTGGACGAGATATCATATACTTATGATCCAAAATCTTGAACTTTTGTTATTTGGATTGGGGTCCAAATGTGCCAAGTAAATTAGCATATTTTATTGGTTTTATTTTTTATTATTTTTTTCTTCTTAAATTGGTTTCCTTCAATCAAATTGAGTTAATTTAGCCAGTATATCTGTATGAAGCAACCTTATGTAAGATTAAGACCCAAAGTTTAAGCAAAGTTCTGCCTATGGTACCAACTTCAGTGGCTCTTTAGTCAAGCCAAGTCAATTTGAGTTTTGCAGCACTGGTGTATAGCTTGTGCCTCTTTAACTTTCAACTTCTCCATGACTCAGGTACTGAGTTATGATGGTTTACATCCGCCAGATTCTTTAGCGGTGACTGCAGCTGGGATTGCAGTGTAAGTTACTAGTTTCCTTTCTGGGTGCAGGTTAATGCACATGTTACTAATTCAAGGCATTGATATATTTTTGTATAAATTACGATAGAGCTCTTTCAGAAGTGCCAAATTCTAAAACTATTGCGGGTGTTCGAATTGGCCTTATTGGTGATAAGTTTGTTGTGAATCCGACTACAAAAGAGATGGAAGGCTCTAAATTAGACTTGTTGCTAGCGGGGACAGATAGTGCAATATTGATGATTGAGGTAAATACTAATTTCTATTCATCATTGTTTGTTCTCTTGTGCATTCGAAGTAGCCAAGATTGTTATTTGTTGTAAACTTTTTGGTTCCCTTTGATGTATTGGCAATTAATTATTTAGCTTAACAGTTAGATAATCTTAGTAATTTTTTTTTTTTTT